TATCTCTGCCAACTCTCACCTGTTTTGTTAGCCAACCACTAATACGTAAACCCTGTTAAATGCGTAATTAAGGAGCTCTGTAAGCAGATGGTGGGCTGAATTAATTGAACAGTCTTGGTAGAAGAAGAGGGAGAGAGCGATACAGAGAGGATGGAGTGGGAAGGAGAAAATAGAACAGGGAAAGGGAAAAAAAAAAAAGAAAAAGAAAAACCACATGGGAAAAATTAGAAAATAGGGAGAAGGGAGAAGATAAAGTGACAGGGGCACAATTTGATTTGAATGTCTTATGATATTGCCAAAAGTTGAATTGCTTTTGTCTACCTTTTGTGCATTTGCCAGACGCCTCCTGGCTTGAAATTGCTTATCGTGCTCCTGTGGAGTCTAAATCAGAGACTTTCCATTGTTATTTTTTGTCATTTTAAGGCGGTTGTTTGACCGATAAACACACCTTTGTATCCATTTTGAGAACTAAAGTGCAGAATTGACTTTGACTGCCTGCCACACACTTTTCTGCATCCAAATGTGGGATGCACTTAAAGAATTGCCTTTTTTTTTTTGAAAATGCTGTCTAAACCCAGATTCGTACCAACGCTAAGTGAGCGACCACAGTTAAATCAGGCAGCCTTGCTGACCTGATGTTATTAGCAAATGAATTGGCTGAAGGATAATTTTGTTTACCTCTATAAACAGATCAATTTTGGCCAGTTCCAATCACACGAGCAGCGTGATGCAGCGTGCAGGAGCCGAGGCTGTGGCCTTTATATCTGCCAACGTTCCAGTACGAGGAAAGCACCGTGCATGAATTTAGTTGAACTAAGTGGTTTTTGTTTTCTGCTGAATTCACTTTACAGCTCAGGCGGCTTCTTCCTCAGCAGAATAGACTTTTTTTAATAACTGGAAATCAGTATGTACAGTCTGTGTGTGATAAGTAAATATGCATAATACAGTTTTGCTTTTTCTTTCTTGTAGGGCCAAGTCATGTTTCGTAACGGAGAGCGGATGGGCACGATAAAATTCAACCAGTTTCAAGGTACGTGTGACTCTGCTGCTTCCTCAGATTAACCTGTCCTGATTTTCTCTTTGTGGTTTGCATACGGAGAGACCTCTTAAAAACTCCTCTCCATCTATCAAAAATCACACATTGAGAAGTTTTTGTCACATGAAAATAATCCCTTCTTACCTTAAAAAGGGCTTAGATGTAACTTTGCTTCCTTTAGAATGTGCAGATTTATGAAGCTCCCACAACTCTCTCTCTCCAGCTGCACTGGAAAGCTACTCTACACAATAGCAAGTTGTGATAAAGGAGCGATTCAGCCACACATGTCTGAACTGGAAATCGATTCCGAAGAAGAATAATGATAAAGAAAGTCGCAGCCTGCAAGATGACAAGATTGGTTCCTTAGTTTCGTTAGGTATGAAACCCCGGCTGTCTGTATCTGTCATCGGTACACTGCGGTTTCAAGGAGTAAATGCTCAGCAGTGGCATTGATGGCTTATCATGTCCTCTGGCATCAAAAATAAAAACAAACTGTAAAAAAATATATATATTTTGATCCTAGCTTTGAATGGAAAACTGTGATTCAAAGCATCAAAAACTGTGCTCTGCCATATTGATGTTTTTTTGCTCAACTGAGCTGCACCTAGAATTATTGCCATAACATATTGAATACTGACAGCTCACATCTATGTTTAATAAGAACTGAAATTGTTTCAGAAAGTTTGCAGGATTACCACAGCCATCTTGCCATTGTTAATAAAACAAGCACCTTTGATGGATCCTGACCAAGAGGGCTTAAGACAAGCTGCAGCCGAGTCGTATTTATAAGAAAGAGAGGCTGAAATATGTGACGCTTTTGAAGTCGGGCGCTTTGTACACACATTTATCATGTTGGTTTTTCTGGAGAGGATTATTCACATGACTTTAAGGCCTGTTTGTCAGAAAAATAAACACAAACTGTTTTTATTCCGGCGAGGAAAGTCTGTGCAAGCCTCTCCGTGTGGAGCTGCATACGGTAGATGGCTGCAGGTTAGGTTAACTTTAAATTGCAAAGCTCTTCACTGTGCTTGTTCTCCTCTTTGGTTGCAGGATGTATGTATGGACAATGAGCATTTGCACAGAAAAACATGCCTCAGTATTCTTTGTCCTCATACGGGAACATCGTCCTGAGGTTGTTTTTGAGTCAGCAGGGCCTGCTGAGTGAGAGAATAACCCCGAGATTGCATCTCAATGCAGGGGATTCCCAGCTCCCAGGCTTCCCAGACTATATGTAGCACACTGCATGGTGCTGTTCAGTCCTCTCTGCCTTACCATCTTATCTTCCTGACTGCAGAGGGGCTTGATCCCTCTGGCTGCTTACATCACACGCAGCGAGAGTGTGTGTGTGTGCATGTGTTTTCTCTCTGAGAGCAGAAGAACTATAGAGGGCAGTGTGTGTTTGCTGATTCACATGCAGTATACCTGTGTTTGCATGCTTCTGTGTGGGTGTGAGACACAGAGAGTCTGTTTGGTGGGTTGGATTTCCTTTAACCTGAGAGATGATGGGGCAGCCAGTGGGTCTAAATTAGGACTTTGGATCAGCAAGGAAAGTACAGGGTGTGTCAGAAACGTTTGAGGACTGGTGTCACAAAAGATAGATTTCAAATCCAAACGACAAAATACAAGTAAAGAGTTCATTTACAAAAACAGATAAAACCCACTTTTCCATCATCTATCTGAGACAATATCAATCAAACTTAAGTTATCTCTATTTTTGTCATTTCTACTGAGTCAGATCCACTCAACTTCACTTTGATTGATATTATCTCAAGTAAACGACAAAAAAATACGTTTTCTGTTTTCTGTTTTTGCAAATGAACTCTTCAAGTTTTCCCTTCCAAGTAATCCTCCTGGAGTCTATCACACTTTCCCAGCCTTCTCTGCCACACTGCCATGCACTCCTGGAAGGATTCTTCTGGGATCCTCTGCAGCTCCATCGTCACAGCCATCTTGATGTCGTCCACGTCTTCTAAACGGGTCCTCTTGATGACCCCCTTGAGCTTGGGGAAGAGGAAAAAAATCCCACGGAGCCAGGTGGGGTGAGTAGGGAGGATGCTCCAGCACGGTGATGTTCTTCTCAGCCAGGAACTGTCGGATGCTCAGGGCGTTGTCATGGTGAAGCAGCCACGACTTGTCCTGCCACAACTCTAGCAGGATCTCTTTGTCGACATGCTGGTTGATCATCTGAAGGGAAAAACTGATAGTTTGTAGTTTAGGTTTGAAACACATCTTTTGTGACACCAGTCCTGGAACCTTTCTGACACACCTTGTACAACGATTAAAATGTACGACTATTAGGGCTTGATGTCTTTAGAGATGTAAAATATAACCAACAGAAAGGCCTCAGCTTGAATGGCAGCCACACACCTTTATTAATTTGTGACGTTTCTACCCACTTTCTTGTCTTTGTGTGTCTCTCTTTCTCTTCTCTCCCACATTGTTGCCTTCTACGTTCTCCAGAATAACCTTCACCTCTGTCAAATCCTCCCCTGTTCTCGATATCTCTCACTATCTTCTCCCGGCCTTATGATATCTCCTCCATCCCTGTTTAAGCTTCACTCCATCAGTTCTTCCTGGCTTGTCAGGGATCATGAATTTGTCACCCTTTTGACACACCAAGAGCCTGAGCAGGGTGGAGGGGAGAGACGAGGGAGAGCCCCGGCTTTAATATTTCAAAAGGGAGTGATCCTCAACATGACCCTATCATCTGTCCTCATCCTCTGAACCTCCATTTTACCCTGTCAGACTTTCTTAGTCCGGGGCCTCGATGGCTCTTATTCCCACTGTCTCTCATGGGGGATAAGAGATAGCTCCCTACCAGAGGTCTTGATCGCAAGCCCTCCGAGTACAGACTTTAAATCAACACAGATGGCCTTTGTTATTCTGTGAGGAGAAAAGATGTTCCGCAGCATCAGTGAGATGTAACATGTTTTAGATCTTGATCTGATAGGACTTACCATCTACAACATACAACCCCCAGGAAGGAATTAATTTCCTGTTTCCATCATCTTCTGCAGGAATTTGAAATGGCAACACCCCTGCCGGTGTCGGTTTACCTCCAGGCGATAGTCTTCTCTCGGTCCTTTCAACTTAAATAGCTCGCTAGAATACCATTGAACTGTAACAGCAGTGGTTTTAAAGGAAGCAACTTTTTTTTTTTTTTTTCCAGTGTTGGAATCTCACAGATCCAACATCACACAGAGTGAAATGAACTCGATCAAAGACAAGTTAATGTGAGCCTCACAGAAAAAAAAAACAACCTCCAAATTACCCTGATCACATTTATAAACACTGCTACAAAGATGGGTCAGGCTGCGCTGATTAAAAAAAAAAAAAAGATGCCTGGTAATCGGAGATTTGCTGTAAATAAGGACTGGCACTGTTGTTTGAGTATTTAAATCAGCATGAGGGTCCAACTAGGTTACATCATTTGTGTCTGAGTGGCAGGTGCATCCAAAAATGATGAACACTCTAGCAGGTGAAATCTTTTTTTTTTTTTTTTACATGAAAAGTTTTAGATGTGATTTAAATGATGCCACTAATTGTGCATGTATCAGATTGTCAGGCAAAGAGATGCAGATATATTTTTTAAAAAGCCTTAAAAAAGCCACCTTTAGTCTTGAGCTGGTCTTAGGAACAGCCAGAGTCCTGCCTGTGGATGTGATTGTGCCCTCTGGAACAATTCAACAATGTAGATCGCAATCAAGCCAGGAAGTACTGAAATTTGATCAATCAAACCTTAAAATCAGTTTCAAAATTAACTAGTAGATGAGAGACTAAAGCAGGACTAGCATGCTCATATAAGTACAATTATTTCCGTATTGTGCTTAGGTACAATATTTTAGTGTGGGTATTGTACTTCGTTTACTAAATCATGAACTACATTCAAGCAAGAAATATTGCCCTGCACTTCATGCTCCACTTAATTTAATGGTAGTTATTAGTTACGTTGCAGAATAACATTTCAGAAACTTATTGCAAGCATATGAGTACTCTGTACAAAATAATTGAAATGATAAAATAATTTGTTCTTTTTATTTTACAGGTTTTTACATACTGAAATACACACAAAATATCAATATAATTACACAGATAGACGATGAATTTACATGTATAATGTAAAATAACATTAAAAACCTGTGGAAAAACCAAAACATTTCAGCTTTTTGAAAGTCATTTTGAATATTTTGACATGTGGGGGGAAATTTATCACAATTTTACAAATGTTTCCTTTTTATTTAATAAACGAAATTGTTAAATTCAAGTTTAATATATGTTTAAATTATATACAGTTAGTTGAAATTAAGAAAACTGCACAGTAGTTTTACATAAGTTTGTTTCTTAAATGTGCTAAATATCTCTATGATATGTTATTATATGTTATAGCTCATTTCATTGATTTGTACACGTCAGTGAATGTCATTAAATATTAGAAAGCCAGAAATGTGCATGACAGAATGTAAAAATGAAGTAAAGAAAATGAATTGTATTTATGGAAAATTACTTTGTTTGTTTGTTTGATTTTACAATATAGTTATTTTACAGTATTTTTATTTGGTGCCCCAGCTGCTGCAACATTACTGTGGTTTTTTATATCCTTTTTTTCTTTAGCAGTGTAACAATCCTTTGTAATGTGGTAATTAATCATTATAACAGCATATGAAATGCTTCAAATTGCCTCCAGCATCCAGCTTTTAAAAATGTTTTATTTTTTTCTGAAAAATTAGGAGCAGTAGTTTTGAATAAATGATACTCAAACAAGAGTAGATAGATTATTAATTAATTTGATTTAGTCTTCTGGTGAGAGTTTCCACTTCTGGAGTTCATAAAATGAACAAGATAAACTACAGTGTCCATGTTCTCTCCAGTAAAGGAACATCTGCTGATGTCTTTTTAATGGGTTTCGAATGTTATTTGGCGGCACGTAGGAATATCACCAGGAATCTTAGGGAAATCAGAGGTTTTCTCACAATCAAAATCCAATTCATCACTGCGTTTACAGTTGTTTTATAGTGACTAATCAAAGAAAAAGGCATGAGGTGTCATTGCACAGACTGAGCGACAGGTTGAATTTAACAGCCTGCTGCAGCCATCCATCTTCCCTGTTGGGATAGAGTGCTGTGATAGCGTTTTAGCATCTCAAAGGAGCGCTGCTGATATACAATCCCTTCTGCTGTTTACACTCCAACAAAGGACATGGTCAGTGATCCTCATTCAGCCCCGATAAGGCTGAGAAACACAAATCCCGATTGTGTACGCGCGTTTAATTTGCTGCGCTAAAATCGTCACATAAAGTCTGACATTCTCGATATTTGCCGACGCTTTGATGCCGGTGCCGGGGATCAAATGAGGTGATTCACAGAGAGCTAACGTGGAGGGAAACAAGATGCCCTGTGATGCTGCAATAGCTGATGTTGTCTGTCATTTTCCTAGTCAAGGACATTGCTGCCAAAGAGTTCAATGGGCCTGTAAGAGTGATAACAGAGAGGAGCGGAGAGATGCACACCAGGAGAAATGGCAGGTTGTGTGTGGTGCTCACACACAAAAAAAGAAAAAAAGAATCAGGATAATCTGTTCCTTCTTTCTATCCCCTTCTTGTTTCCTCCCTAGCGTACACTCTAAGTGAGTAATCTTTATGAGTGAAAGCCCAGGTTTGTCTGACAAGGTCATGCTTCCTCCAATATTACACCTGAGAGACTCATCGTTGTTTCTAAAAGAGAAAACGCTTAATCCTGAAATAGCTGTGTTTGAGCGGAACGCGGGAGAGGCAGCGATGTTTACTGGATGGGGTTAACAGCAGTTTAGGATCCCTTGGCTAAATCTAGGAAATAGTAAAGCAAATGCAGATTTTAATATATATTAAAAAAAGAAGAGTGTGTTTATTGTTTCCTTGAACATCAGTTGAAAATTCCCATAGAGGGGGTTATTTGCTGCTTTTTTATGTCTTTGCCTGTTAGCTGGTTTGTGTGACCTTTGCTTTTTATTGTCCTTTAGGTTCAATTTAGGTATAATAAACTACAAATTGAAACAGTATATAACAAAAGGATCACCTCCGAGCCGTGTAATCTGCAAATGAAAGCTACCAATTGGACTCCTAAAAGCTATTCATACTGAGTGCCTTTAAAATTCTATGCTATGGATATTTTGTTGAATAACTAATCGGTTTTGGAAGACTTTGTGATTTAAAGCTAGGTTACAGAACTGAGTGAGACTGTGCATCCTAAAGCTGGGTCACTCACTGTGTCGAATTACTGGTAGAGTTTTTCACTCAAAGTAGCCTCTGTCATATATTCTCCAAAGAAGGAACGCTGGTGCAACATTTTAAAAACCCATCAGGCTGCCTTGTATTCATGATCCATTATATAAGCACGCCATTGCATGATTAAAGATCCCCTCCAGACCTGTTCAAAGATATATTAAATGCTTGAAATGATAATTTGTGTCAGATATGTTTTTTTTTTTCCCATAAACAACTCCAATTATCCAGTCAGAAATTCCTAAAGTGACATCTAACGCCTCCTCCCTCATTGATAAATCCAGTGTCCATAAATATGCAAAAGTGCAGCTATATTTAACTGCTGCCTCCAACATCACAGAGAATCCATTCGCAGTATATGTGCAATGCAAGCTTCAAGTTTCCACTTTACAGTTGCCTAAACTGTCGGCAGTAGTGTTGTCAAAACCTAAAATTTTAGTTGAGATAAAAAAAAAAACTTTTAATTTTCTTGAATTTAATGAATTTGAAAACATGTTTCTAGTGTCAGACTCTAAATCAATCAACATCAAGCACAAGTAGCATTGAAAAAAAAGACAATTTTGAGTAGAGGGGGTCTTTAACTAGCTACTGGAATGACTTCACATGACTTGCCAAAGATTCAAGACAAAAAACAACCCCTAAGCTAATAAGCTAGCTGCTGGTCTGATGACCACAAAGTCATTTTAAGCCTTAGTACTCATGCGGCTGTAGGGATAGTAATGTCCATCTGTCTGTTGGTCAGCCTGCCATGATGTTTCATGTAGACTTTCATGTTCCCCGAAGGAATAATGTTTATGACTTTGGTGATTCCCTGTTGTATCTAAAGCCGCCAACAGGACAACCTTCACGCTTGTTCAGCGAAAGAGTATCTCAACATCTAATTGA